ATTTGTATTGTAAATCTCCAATCACTTCGACCTCGACGAAATCCATGTACAGAATAAACAGGTATTTCTAACTAAAATAAAATTTCTCCACTAAACAATATCTTGGGGCACGCTGTTTCAAATCAAATACATATATTTTCAATAGTAATGTTACATGTTAAATTTTATAAAATAAAAAATTACTCTATAATAAAAATTATTAATCGACAACGTTCGATAAACGATTTTCAACCTTATCCCTCTAAAACGAAGATTGAAAATTGGTTAGTAACAAACGTTGCCTACATAAGTATAACTGTTAACTGTATATATGTTGGCATTTACTATTATATATGTAATAGAATGTTATTTGAATATATTTGTAATTTTATTAAAGTTTTCAGAGTGGCAATTGCATGTATTGTATATTGAGGAACGCTCAAGTACGGATTTTTAATGCTTCAGCAAGGCTTGGAGGTTTTTCGGTTACTGTTCAGCGCAAGAGCTTATTAGAATGTTAAGCTTCAGATTACATAGTGTTCTGTGGAAAAGAGATGACGTTATCTGACATGTGTAGTGTCCATCTCGCTCACACACTGATGTTATACTAAGCGCAGTTTGCGCAACGTCTTTGGAGTTTGCGCAAGTATGATTGTAAGTCAATCTGAGGTTTTACTTTATCGTCACTGTTTGTAAAGGAATTATCTGAACAAGTGCCGCAAAACCTTTCACACGAACACATTCAATTGCTAGTCTGTCAGCCGAGTTAACAGACTTACCCCTCAAACCGAAATCGACTTTAAAATAATTGCTCAAGGTTGATTTTTCAGTCTGTCGATTCGGCTGATTCCTATTCTAGGTTTGTGTGCAGTTATTGTGTGTTAAAAACTTACTATCGGCAATAAAAACTCCTTGTAAAATAATTTGAGAAACGTATGATACCCGCACACAACAGTTGTTTAGCTAACTTAGAATTACTGTTGTTATATAAAAAAAAAACTTATAAGACTATGTATACTATTTTTCGTGCATTTACTGTAATCCTTTTTACTATTTAGTCTTTAGACGAGGTGATATTTTAAATCTATTTTCTGGTTTAGAAGTACCTTTTCATACTATGTGTATATATATTGACGTTAACGTTTGAACGTATTACTCTAAGGTAATATCTTATTGTACCTACCGATCAAGTTCTCAAACTTGCAATAAACTTATATGCATAAATAAATTTAAATTTATTCGATGATACAAGAAATATATTTAACTAATTAATAAAAAATATATGGCAATCTTAAATTAGTAGATAGAATGTTTTAACTATCGGATTTTAATGTTTACTATATTTAATTTTTAATCTTGAATTAGATCGGTTTCGGCCGGTGGTCGGGACTTCAAAAATATCATGACAATAAATAAAAAAAATGTTCTATTTTTCTGAACGATTAACATGTTCCAAAAACTCATATTTATTGAAGATAGTTGTTGAAAGTTTCGCTGTATTTAAATCATTTATTTTACGATGCTTAACGCGGCCATCGCAACTTTAATAAATTATATACATATATACGCTTTTTAATACCATCGCATTCGAATGGCCAGAGATAATGCATTTAAATATTAATTGTTCCTTGCATAGGATATAAATTTTATTTGTATTATAACTTTCGTGAGATATACTACATTAATTATTATGATTTCGGCTTACTCACCTAACTGTTTGACGACAGCGAACTCGACTAGTTTCTCGACGGCTCATATTCAGTAGTAGCGCGACAGTCACCGCGTCGTGTGTCGCGAAATGATGGTCATGAATATGACGCTTTAGCATAGCTTGAAACTAGTCGAGTTCTTTCTCAAACAGGTACGTGAGTGAAACGAAAAAAATAATAATTAATAATGTTTGTCTTATTAATTGGGTATTTGTCTATTATAGACCTAAGCATAATATTGCATTTAGATAAATTGAACTGGAATCGCAGAGGGGGTTATTTTATTACTATCTAATAATGATGTATTTACAACACTTATTTTCATATTGATGCATGGACTATTCACATTTCCTAACTGTAGTTTGAAAGTTGAAAATAACAATCGTTGCGTCTCTTTTTCACATATACAATATTCAATTGTGTGAAAGGGACACATAACGTCTTTTGATGTACAGAGAGGTATCATAAAAATATTGTTGTCTCTTTTAATCTGTTATGTATACACGGCTACATATCGAACTATAGATAACCAGTTTATCTTTTATCTCGCTTTATATGATCTTACCGAGTATTCAAAGGTCAGTTTACTGGTTATACTCTCCACTTTGTCATGGTCTCGTTGCAGATGAGTGTGCGTCGGCACGAATGGGCCGGCTCGACCTCTCACAGAATCTCACAGATCGACCGGCCTCACAGAAAACCGACGTGAAAGAACGCTTGCCTTGTGTTTCGTCGTGTGAGTGAGATTACTGGAGGCCCAATTACCCCTCTCTTCAGTCTCCGAATCCTCAAATTCCCTATTCCCAAAAGGCCGGTAACGCACTTGTAACACCTTGGTGTTTCAGGTGTCCATCGGCGGCGCGCATTGCTTACCATCAGGTGATCCGTCTGCTCGTGTACCGGCTTATGACATAAAATAATCTTTCTTCACATTCGATGGTCAGTTTATAGTGGTTGCGCACAGTTTGACGTGTAGCCGTTTATACCAAGATGTTGCTATTTCAGAGTTTAAATAATTCGATGTTGATTGCAAGCCTCTAGTTAACTGGCTTGTGACTTAGCCCGTGCCTTCTATTGTCAAATACTTTCTTTTGGGCAGCTTTGAATTATATGAACAGAAAATATATGGCACAGTTGGATATATCTCCTTTTTATGTTCAGTGGCCAGTACATCAACCTACTTCAATGTGTCATTGCATTTTCGACTTTATACCCGAACGATAGGGTTGAAAATCTAATGAAGCAATTTGATAGAAAAAAGTAGGCTTACCTGCTGCCTACCGAGTCCTTTGACTACAATAGCACATATTTTATAGTAACAAATAAGAATGTTCTAGACATAGTCTCTATCAGTCTCCGACAGTCGAAGGGGTTCAGTTGTTAGTACGCGCCCATCACTATATATAAAATATGTTATCGATGTATTTACGTTCGTACATTCAGTATTCGAACATTTGTTCTTAGACATTACGTTAGTGAGATATTAACAAGTACTTAACATCGTAGCCTTAAATTTCTCGTTGCAATATTTAAAAAATTATGTAAGCTTTAAAGTTATTACCGCCGTACTCACAGACACTTAATGATCAAACCCAGTCCTTACAATTGTCGTCGGAACAAATTATTAAGGAATAGTTTGAGTAATCATTGCACGTCTCCGAGTACGGCTATTAATATTTAGTTAATATGTTCCCTCCAAAATTTTTTCCTATTATTTTTGTGGCAACGACAATACATTTTGTATTGCTCAAATTATGCTCATTTTTAATTAATCCTTGTACTTATTTCTGTAGTGATATTAAATATTTTACTCTTAATAACGATGTTTGTGTCGTTTGACTATGTGTAACTTGATTTATGTTTGATGAATTGATCTGTGAAGTTAAGCGGGCGACGCCTGCCTTGTATTTAGTGTAGATGACAGAAATAAACATTTACCTAGTATCATTTTATGTGTTTTTATTTCAAATAAACAATGGCAGTTTAACAGGTAATTATAATTGTTATAATTTTATAACTACACGGTGTCGGGAGGTGTAGCAGTCTTTGAAACGAGTCTCATCAAGAAGCGTTATAAAATCGTTGCGAAAACTGTACACACATAGACAACTTGACTGGCGAAATACTGAATTAAGAACTCATGTCTTTTACTCTAATACTATTATATAAAGCGGAAGAGTTTGTTTTTTTTTTGTTTGTTCGCTTGAACGCGCTAATCTCCGTGACTACAAGTCTGATTTTAATAATTTTTTTTTGTATTGGATAGCGCATTTATAGGCTATAAAACATCACGCTAAGACTAATAGGAGGTGAGCAGAGCGTGTGAAACCGCGCGGAAGTAGCTAGTTTAAGATAAGGTTAAAAGTCAATTTAAAAATCTATTGATGGTTTGAAACATCTATGTTGATAACATAAACACGTCGATAAAGTTAAAAGCAGGTAAGTTTGCGTGACACTTTTATCTACACAGTAATTTGTACCTTACTGTATGAAGATAGGGTTGACTTTTCTGTGAACATGTAAACTACACTACAATAAAATTAAATTCATAATTATTTTTTTAATTCTTTTATGCCTTGTACAGTATTGCGCCAGTAAAGTCGTTGAAACAACAGTACATTGAGAGATTTCATCAATTTCCTACAATTACAACATTTATTGCATACGTCACATAAAATTCAGTCTTACACAGGAATCTCTCCAAAGAAATTAATGAAATCCACTCACATTTGATTATAAACCTTAGAAGTAAACAATAAAGTTACTTTTCCTTTACAACGAGTAGTAGTGGTATAAAATTTTATAGAATTTTTTATATAAAATCTAGCCTTATAATTATATTGAGTACATTGGTACCTAGTGCATGTCAGTGTTATATTATAGAAACTACGTGAAAATAATTGTTTCGAAGTTACTCGGGACCAAATTGGTCTCGCAACATTGCATGTCTAATTAGACATAGGAAAAGGTAAGTTGTATTCTATGTACTTTCAGTATGTAATACATTTATTGATTATGTTTATAATTATGTAGTTATTCGTTTCAATAGCGTACAAAACATACACTATCATTTTATCAAAAACATACTGTGTAACTATTGACATACATAGTTTTTAAAATGTATTCATATTATGTGATCGCAGCACAAGATGTCCACCAATAAGGTAGACAAATGACTTTGTTAAGGTCACAGGGAGCCGCTGCATGCAGGTCGCTTCGAACAGAGGCCTTAGTACAAGTTTGTTCCACGTTTAAAATAATCGTAACGAGTACGCGTTCAGCGCTCTGATTGGTTGCTTCATTGGCGCCGGCCAATCCGAACGTGTACTCGTTTCGAATACTTTTAACGTAAATAACGTAAAACAAATTCGTACTAAGGCCTCTGGTCTATCTGGGAGTCATTCGAGTAAGTCTATGCTCAGCAGAAGACGTCTTGTGGGTGACAAGTTACAAGTTACGCATGATGCGACATGCAATATCCCGAAATATAGTCCGCAGTAATTTCAAAACTGTATTAGAAAACTGTAAAACTGGGTGTTTCGACTCCACAACGATAAAGGAATCTTTTTACATACTTATATTAAAGTGTTTAATTATTGGTCATTCTCAACAACCTATCCGTTGGTAGATTTAACTACTAGAGTTATAGATGTAATTTTGGTATGTGAAAATTCCATAACAACAGGGCCCACTAGAGTCGATGCCTGTAAGGGTAGCAAGACTGGTTATATACAGTGGCCCTGACTCGGAGCCAGGGTAGGAACGGGGTGGGTTTTAGGCAGCAAGAGTCAGACATTCCTTCACGCCTCCCCAGCTTGATTTCCACCCACAAAAACATGTAAAATTTCGCTCTCTAGTAGTCAAATCTATTGACGTGTAAGTAATTGAGACTGACCTTACAAGAGTCTTAACAATTAACATTACGTCCTTATTAACTATAGAATCTCTATTCATTCGAAAATGTACCTTATTGACACTATAATAAATTGTTGCTTTTTGATAAGAAATGGTAAAAAAAGCAAAATTGTGAACACTGTGTTTAAAAATCTCTGTTTGTATTTACTTCTTCCTTTACAAGGAATTGTCGATTTCAGTCATTTCAAATAAGTTCTATATTTGTGGAAAGTTGTTTAGGTTAAAACTAAAGCTTTATTGCACATCAAATAAAAATATAAACTTTTAATAACATACATTTTAACACAATAAAGAATTTACAATTAGATTATCTTTAAAATATTTCAGACATCGGTTTTCACTAGTTACATTACGTCAAAAACACACGATGAAATGGCTGCCGATTCAAAGAACATACATTAGAATATGAAATATTATAATACGATACAAAATCTTGCTTCAAAGTCCTTCAATGTCAATCAAACCAATCAATCACTTAATGATGGAAGTACAGTATTTGGCGATCAAAAAGCAGTCTTATTGTGCTATTTTTAGAGACGAAAATTGAGTAGGTATGTTCTATCTAACTAGCCACCACTATATTCAAGGCACATCTTAACGATATTCTATATAACGATACTATACTATTTAATAGATAATATTAGGTATTATAATAATATAGTGAGAAAACAACACGAAAATGTACTTTAACGTTGGTACAAAGAGTGTAAATTAGTTTTGCATACTATACCTAAATGCTCAAATTAATTCGTAATTCGAAATAATCCACACAAATTAAAACATAAGTTTAAATCAAAATGCAAGTTAATTTCGAGTTTAAGAACCGTCTTAAAACAGTATTCTATATGTATAAAAATTATCTTATTTATCATAAAAAATCATAACAATATCATAAAGAAATTGGGTCATCAAATACCTACATACTACCTACATCAAATATATAATTTTATTCACGAGCGAGTATGTTGCGGCATTTCGAACTATAGTGATTATCTTTGTTACGTTTTAAACGCCGAAATCGCTGAATCGATTTCGATGAATTTTGTTCCAAGATAGGGATCTTGTGAGTTGGTTGCTACAGGTTACTTTTATGCGAAAACCAACCTTAGTATCTTAGAGATAAAATTTACATTGTCGTGCGTGAAGCCACAACACACTAGCCCATGGTACAACGTCAACGAAAAAATTGAAAGAAAGCATAAAAATGTTTTAAAATATTATGGCCGGTGTTATAATACTGGTTGTTTTTTTGTTTTCTTTCATTATATTCGACTCGAGCCTTGCTAGCTGAGCTACTATTCAAAACTAAGCGCGGCTCTAAACATTTTGATCTACTTAAAATGGAAACATTTTGCTTGGCTTTCAAGATATTAATCTTGATTCATTATGATCAAAATAATAAGATGTTCTTTAGCATTCACTCTGTAATTTTCATATTGTGTCATTGATCCAATATGTTAATTTAAACATTCTATAGAAAACAAGGTACACACAAAAACAGGTAATAAAACCACCACCAATATGATGTCATTGCTACAATTAGGTAGTATTAACATTATAAGGAAGAATATTGTTGAATATGAGTCAGGTGAAAACTAAAGCACATCAAATTATTTTGTCCTGTGCAAGTACATAAACTTTAATCACTTATTTGCAATTCATAACATATCTCTTACAAATTCACTGCTAGACTTCTCCCAAATCTTTCCCGACCTGTACAACCTGTAAACCTTATTGCTAACTAAACTCTGTCCAAATTTCACCATTGCTCCTTCAAACTTGTGCTGGAACACTTGCATTTGAGTCTCATTGTACCCACCTCCACTCGGATTGTACACCTTTGGATCCCTACACTCCGTATACTTATGTGCTGCCAGTATTTCTACTGGTAACACTTTAACACTCGAGTTAAAACTAAACATATCCTCAAATGTTGGCATGGCATCCAAATTCCTCACATACACTGGCTTCAATTGCTCCGACATGATGTAGTAATGTGTCTTCTTCATTAGATCTGGGAACCCTTCTTCTGTCCTATCATCATCAGGTTGGTTCAAACAGAATAACAGAGGTGTCACTTCTAGAGTTTTGAATTTCCTAGTAGGATCAAAGTCACTGAATATTTCCTTCACATTATTATGGACTCTAGGAACTAAAAACTCATCCCAAGACATAACCATAGCATGACTTACTTTCTCGGTTTCTTCTTTATCTATTCTAAAGTGTCTGAAGAGACAATCAAGCTCTATAGCATTCCTTACAATGTTGTATGACTTAGCAAATACAAATGGATAGTTAAGAGGGAAGAATTGTATGTTCCACTGAGTGATGTCAGGTGGCAGTAGGTTCAGTCTTCTAATTATATCTTCGGATATCATACTGTCATATATTGTAAAGTAGTTCACTCCCACCATATGGTGGAAGACTAAAAACTCTATGAAAGAATCTCTTGATACCAATGGCACTTGGTTTGGTATGATACAAATAGCTGGTTCAATGTTATTCACAAACTTAATATTACTTCTCTCCCTAGGTTTTCTCTTAGTGTTCACCTCAATAACTCTGTTTATTGGTGCATGTATTGGGTTTATATTATAATCATTGCTGTAGAAGCTGATTCCTTTGGGCTTTCCCAAGTTCTTGTTCAGTGAACATTGGAAGATGTATAAGCGGAAATCATTGATAGGTTCAGACACAATTTTGTAGTTAAACCTGCCTGCTTTAGGTTTGTCTGTGTTCTCTAGCCAAATGTTGCATCGGAAATTAGGTGGGACGTGCGCCTTGCCGATCACAATAGTGTCAATGTTGTGAGGATGCATTGGCGTCAATTTTTCATATTTCTGATAAGATCTCAAGAAAGATGAATAAGAATAGAAATTCTCATCAATCTGCTGAAAGAGAGGCGGAGTTTCGCGGATTTCTAGCGATGAATTTCGAAGGATCTCAGATAACATAGTCGCGTTAAAACCTGGGCCGCAGAATTCGATCTCAGAAAGGCCCGGTTTGCCAAAGAAATTCAACACTTCGAGCACGTACCTCAGCCTGTAATACTCATGGCGGTATATGAGCAAAGTAATGATGCTCATAAAGCATACTATGACGAGAATAAGTTGATAATATTTCCTCATTGTGGTGTTCCCTGCAGCGTTTCGAGGAGACGTCTTCATTTATTCACCCGGCATCTAAAACCATTACATACGATTTAGAAATATGAACGTAGTCATTTTAAAACATGACTTATAGGTAAAAACTTACCCAATTATTTAAGAACAGAAATAAAATTAAAATAATGGTTTTCGACGGTATTCATTTCACAATTTACAGCATTGCAGATGATTGTGATGAATGAAAATACATCAATTGACAGTTATTGTGACAGCTGACAATAGAATGAATGGACATGAATGAATGTGACGTCAAAATGACACTTGAATGACGTACATTTCTTATATTGGTAGCATTGATTTCTTGGATTGGTAGCATTGGTAGCATTGGAAGTTTCGGGAGGTACCTGTGTCTGATGGGGCGGGAGGAAACGCCCGGGTGTCATCACTGCGAGGGCCGCCCTGAGGACACGGTGGAACACACGGTGGGAGAATGCCCTTCGTGGGCTGAGCACCGCCGTGTCCTCAGGGAAGTGATCGGCGATGGCGACCTCTCGCGTCCGGGCCTAGTGCAGGCCATGATGCGGAGCGAGGGGGATTGGGATGCCGTCTCCTCCTTTTGCGAAGCAGTCATGCTAGCTAAGGAGGAGGCGGGACGCGTGAGGCAGCGAAGCGCTGCCTCCTCGCAACCCAGCCATCGCGAAGGACACACCGGGCGTCGGGGATCGCGGGACGATCTCCGGCCACCGTAAGCGCGGGCCTGCGGACGGCGAGCATGGGTGGCTCCCCGTCCGACCAGAAACAGACCCGAGCGTACGGCGCGTCGCGTTCCGCGCGCGCCTCAAAGAGCCATCAGACCACCACAGATGGGGCCCAATAGGGCCGATGCCGATTCGGAGTCGCGGAGAACCTAACGGGTAACCGGGGCTCCGGCTCGACGTGCAGGAGAAGGAACGGGGTGGTTTTTAGTCAGTAAGAGTCTGACACTCCCTCCCGCCTCACCCAGGCGGGGGCAGTCATTCGATGATTTTCCCCCCTTAAAAAAAAAAAAAAAAAAAAAAAAAGCATTGATTTCTGCTTTTTGGATCTTAGAGATGCACTTCGAAATGGTTTTCGGTTTCTTTTTGTTATAGAAATGTAAAAGCATTTTATAAGTAAGTTTTGTAAGTAGATAAAAATACGCGAGCGATAGTATTGTATTGAGAATTTATCAGATAAATCATTTGTACAGTAGCATGTTTTTATATTTTTTTTCAATTTGATGTTCCAACTGGTTGTCTATTCTCATACAACAAAATTTATGTTACCACAACTCTAGTTCTTGTCAATTCTGCCAAAGTAACAATATAAAACCAAAAGCGAGCAAGTCATCGGCGTTTTCATGGAATGTCTTGTATAGTTGAATAGAAAAATAAAATAATTTCTAAATATGTCCACCAATAAGGAGGAGACTTTGAGACAGTTTTGTGATGTTACTGGCGCGGATGAGGGTCGCAGCAAGTTTTTTCTGGAGTCATCTAACTGGCAGTTAGACGTAAGTTGAACGCTTGTTTTATCACCTTTTTGCTGTTTTTTTGTCATAATAAGGTATTATTCGTTGATTAATAATGTCAATCATCAGTTTGAATCAAGTTTAACAGTTTTGTTTTGGTTTCGGTCTCACTTTGAACCTTTGGTTCTACATTGGTTAAATTCTTGTTAAGTTCGAAACAAAGACCTATAGGCATTCCAATTAGTTACGTAGCAGTTTTCCGTATTGTTATTATAGTTGTGTTATACTTTTCTAATGATTTGTTGACTGACAATCGTTGCACTGGAAAGTCAGTCAATGAACTGTTTCAATTAGATCCAGGTGTTTGATCTCTTCAGTGTGACCAATAAAATTAGAATTTTAATAGATTCTTATTAGACACGTTATCAGAATAAAACACTAGATTATAATATACTGATAATATATCATGTGCATCAAATATGTCACCCCTATACATAAATACCACACATAAATAAAATCGATTTATCAAATTATAGGTAGCACTATCCAGTTTCTATGAGCACGGAGGTAACGCAGATGAGGCTCCATCCAACCCAGCGGCTGCCGCATCGTCCCTGCCGACTCTGTCAGACAGTGACATGGAGTCACCTCCCGGGTCACCACTAGCTGCCCAGAAGAAAGACAAGAAGAAAGCTCCGAGCTCAAAGTTTGCTACGCTTGACTCCTTGCAACAGGAGAGCTCTAGTGATGAAGAAGAAGGTAAATATTTGCTTTATGTACAAATATTGAACCAGAGGTCCAATACTTCCCAATCTCCCCAATCCCCCAATCCCCCAATCCTCAAATCCCCCAATACCCCAATCCTCAAATTCCTAATCCCCAAATTCATAATAGGCCAGGAATGCACTTGTAACACCTATGGTGTTCCAGGTGTCCATGGTGGATGCCATTGCTCATTTACCGACTTATCCCATAAAAACCAAAAATAATATAAATGTTTAGGTATGCCTGGCTGACGTACAGTGAGCTGAGGTATCATGTAGCTATTTATTTAAGGTTAAATATATGTGGATTTAAAACCAATAATCATCTTGGATAAATATTCATGGTTCAAGACAAATACAATAATCCTCTCTTTTGCTTCACCATAGTGATAGAAAATGATAAGTTTTTCGGCTAACTCACTTGACTCTTTGATGAAGAACTCAAGTAGTTTCAAGAGATAATAGACATTCATTTTATCATGCTAGAGTAGACGCAACAGTTGCCTCGTTGTGTGATGCGGAATGCTCTCAAAACTATAGTAATTCATATGCAGGGAAGCAGGAAACCCAAGATTATATGGATCTACCATCTAATCTAGGGTTCCCTGCTTCCCTGTATTATAAGATGCATTAAAAGTTGATTCTTAATTTAATGATGTTATCATATCAACTTTCGCAAAGTTAATGCATTCACTAAGGTCCATATATGTATTATAAAAGGTTTTAACGTTTCCGCTTCATGGACAGTTTAAACTGTTTCTAAACAGTTTAAACAGTTTAAACTGGTTGTAGAGGATGCATGCCTTCTTCAAATGCTACAACAAACCCTCAAATGACAGGTGGACAGTTACCCTAAGTTTGATTTCTTGGATTTTAGGAAAAAATCTTATTTAGTTATTGTTTTAATGAGAATAACTAAGGCTAATAATACTAAGAGATCCATTCGAAATGATTTCTGGATGCCAAAAACCAATTGAAGACTCTTTATAAAGCATTAACAGCCAGCATGAATTCTTAATATTCTTAGGTTTTTGTAAAGCAGTAAGATCAAACGCCAGTTGGTTTAGGAAGCAAATACAACTGAAATTACATCAGTACATATGCGAGAGATCTTCATTTTCCAATGCCGTAGTAAAGACAACGATGCCTCCGTCAAATGACGCTTCAACACAGGCCGTGCACGATGTAATGTCGGAAGGTTCTGAGTATTCACTCGAGCTAAATAAGCTGAAAAAAGAAGTGGAGAGATTGTTGTATGAGAATAGTGCGTTGAGAAAAGAGATTGCAAGATTGCAAGGGGAGGAACCTCCTGATGCCGGTGAGGCAGGTCTGTGCATTCTATCTTGTAGTGTTGATTGTAGAACTAACAGTTACGTTTTCATTTAACGGTATACACAATATTGTGCAACTTCAATTAAATGTTAAATTGCTACATTAATACCTTAATGAAAACTTGACTATAATCACTACAGATGGAGTGAACAAACGTGCTTATGGCCCTTGTATAAAGTCGAAATTTGCCTGTAGGTTCCAAATAGATCCCTTTAGAAGTTCTTACAGGAAAATTCTAGTATAGCTCTTGAAGGGTATGTATGTAGTTGGTACAATCAATATCCCTGTATTCAAACAATTATTTCCATTGTTACAGGTCAAGCCTTCTATGCCGGTGGATCGGAGCGCTCTGGACAGCAGATCCTGGGCCCATCCAAGGGCGGGAGAAAGGATATAGTCACTGAGGTCTTCAAAAGCGTTCGAGAGTGAGTTTCACCATTGTGTTTGATTAACATCCCCTAAACAGGTTATGACAATACACTGCTAGTCTATATGCCATATAGCGTACCCTGTGTGTGGATGAGGAATACATGAGAGGGGTGGTCCTCTCGTGTGCTGTACCTTAAAGGGTCTAGTGTATTATAGAGGGCTGCTGGCTGCTCTATTTTAAATGTTTAGTGCCTTAATTGGTTTATAGGAACCTGCGGGGAGGGTTGACAAATGTATTCTACTTTCTCATCACCAGACCATCCGCCACACGACAGGGCAATATAGCGGGGTTCCCCCTACTACTACTTGAACGCATAATCGCCGCTTTGTTTGTTCGTGTAAACGGGGCGCAAATTGTCAATGTTCGGGGAATTCCCGCGTTATATTCGAATTATTAAGACGGTACTTTTTTATCATCGCAATAGTGATATTGTATTGGTATCAATGTGTTTTTAATTTTAATTCAAGTTTTGACAGTATTGAGCGTGTATTTTGAGGATTCTTAAGTTTATGGGTAATTCGCGAATGGTGTTCACCGAAGCGATTTTTTCATTGAAATGGTAAACGATTCATAACGAAACAAGCCGACGGATCACCTGATGTAAGCAATCGGCGCCGCCCATGGTCACTCGCAATCGCAACATAACATCGCCGACATTTTTCAGTTTGTTTTTATTTTATCGAAAAAATTATGTGTTCTTAATTATTTCTTATCTCTTTAGGCGCGGTGCCGTCGTGTTTGAAGATGAGCCGTCGTCTACTAGCCGAGGACGTTCTGCGTTCAGCGGTGTTGGATATAGACTTGGTAACTGTATTACGTATTATGATTTGTCGACCTTAAATACTGAAGTATAAGGTTGAGTGTGACTTGCACTTTGTGAGATGGTATGGTCTATTTTCGCTTTCAATGACAATGTTACAATTATATCGTTACTTTAAGTTTCATGGCAATCCACTCATAATAATGATAATATTTATTTATCATTAGCTGATACGGCAAATTTCGTACCGCCTAAAAAATATTTTATTACTTTTGAAACATTTCCTGGACTTTCACGAACATTTCAAAATTAGCCAAATCGGTTCAGTCGTTCTCGAGTTTTGGCGAGACTAACGAACGGAATTTTTTTTTTATTGATCTAGATTTGAGTCTTAAGATAATTGTTTGAGTCGATCAAAATTTGTCTATGCTTGTAGCTTGTCGAAATAGGCTCCTTATTATAGTGGGACTTTACTTAGTAAAACTAGCTACGACCACCCGGTGAATGGACTATCTAACACAAAAATATTTGTCCAAATCGAGTAGTTCCACAGATTCTTTAAACAAACTCGTCAAAGATTAGATAGGTAATTTATTTTATTATTTATTTTAAACGTTGCCCCATACTAGGATTTCTCCTGTGTCGTGGGTGCGTTTACAAACATACAAGTTCACATACACATTACACGCAGACCCGGAACAACAATCCGTGGATCACACAAAGAGTTGTTCCGTGCGGGAATCAGTTGCCCAGTCACAGCGCCAACCGTGCCGTCAATATTGATGTTTTATACCGTTTATTATGCTACACAGGTCAAACGGCTGATGATCATGAGCCTGCATCAGCTGGCGGCAACCAGCAGCAACAAGTAAGTCAATTAAATAACCACTTGTACAAGTGAAACCAGTATCCTTATATGGTATATCCAGTACTGCCTCGTTGGAGTGGTCGCGAGTGCGACTACCGGGCAAGGGGTCTCGGGTTCGATTCCCGGGTCGGGCAAAGTATTACTGGGTTTTTAAAAAATTCTCAGTAGTAGCACGGAGTCTGGAAATGTGCCCGGTATATGGCAATAGGCTCACCCCCTATTACATGGGACTCATAACATAAATAGTGAAAAGTGGGTGTTACTTCTGTGTGCACCTCTGCCTACCCCTTCGGGGATAAAAGGCGTGATGTATTTATTATATTGGCGGAACATAGGCCTCTCCCAATGACTTCCAGATATGCCTATGTTCAGCAGTCGACCTATGGCTGATATGGTGGTGATGATGATAATTATAGTGACAACAGAAATACACCAATTGTCCAAACAACTGTCTAACTAGCACGGTTCATGAGTTACAACCTGGCTATAGACAGATGCATAGCGAAGCCTTCGTAATCGAGTTCCGTATTTGCGCTTTGGATACGGAATCTTCAAAAGATGTCCACCCCTCTCGCGTCTGTCTGTGATCATGAACGCGATCAACTTGTCTAATATTTTCATTGATACATTGTGTGATGCCTGCCTAATAGTGGAAGGTTTAGGTGTACAGTTTGTTTTTTTTTTTTATGGGAGAAGCCGGTAAACGAGCTGACGGGACATCTGATGGTAAGCAATCGGCGTCGCCCGTGGCGTTACAAGTGTGTTACCGGCCTTTTGGGGGTTAGGAATTTGAAGATTGTTAGGGATTCGGGGTTTAGGGAGATTGGGGAAGGAGTAATAGGGGCTCCGGTAACTTCACTCACACGACGAATCACAACGCAAGCGTTGTTTCACGTCGGTTTTCTGTGAGGCCGTGGTATCACTCCGGTCGACCCGGCCCGTTCGTGCCGAAGCATGGCGAGCCCACACTTAAGTTTATATCGCTCTTATCACACTTCGTTATGGTGTAAAGTGTAAAGCAAAAAGCTAGTTAATTATAATAAATATTTGTATTTATTCCCTATGTGTCACATAGACTGATCAGCCACGTTCAGTGAGACTGCGACTGTACCGCGAGGGCTTCACAGTGGACTCCGGCCCACTGCGACACTACACCGACCCTGACCACGCTGACTTTCTCAACTGTATACGTCGGGGGTAAGTTATTTTGTGTAAATAGAAGTAAATTACGAGTGTATAAATGGTTTATGGAATAAGGAAAATGATCAGATGGATCCACCTGATGGTAAGCAATCAGCACCATGGACACTAGCAGCACAGAGTTGTTACAAGTTCATTAATGACCTTTGGCATATATACGCATTAGTCTGCCATTTTCAGGTAACGTATATGAAAGCAACAAGCGTAATAATCGAGAAGGTATATCTTCTGATTGCATTTTGGTTCGGGAAAGTTAATTAGTTTTTTAGGTTTTCGAAAATTCTCAGTAGCTGCTTAGCAATACGTAGTTTAGAATTGTGCTCCGTGTGTGGAGCGAGGAGGTACGGTATTTTAGTCTAGATGAGAAAAAATGAAAAGTTTATTACAATGATTGTTTATAGGCAAAGCAATCGGGATAAGTTAGTTTTTTAGGGAACAGAGAGTATAGTTCCCTAAGATCGGAAAAGGAGGATCCTCCGACCAGGCGAGGTGATCGTGCCTGGCGGGCTTTCTGCCCAACAGTTGTTCGTTGGGATTTTCTATCCGTGTTAAATCGAATATAAACTTCGCATGTGCGATGTAGGATTTTTATGACGTCATCCGTTGACTTGTGACATGTGTCGCCACAGTTTCACCTTATATGGTACTTAAATATTTTTTTATAACAGTTTAAAGTTTTAATGTTTTTTTATCTGTCTTTGAACACTAGGAAATGTCGCTGCCATGCTAATGACGTCATTACGGTAGTAAACAAAAGTGTCAGCTGTCATTGTACTAAATGTGTATTACTGTCAGCTGTAGTTTATTGAATGAATACTGACGTAATGACTACAAAACAATCATGGCGTCCGCTGTTTACGGCGTTTTCGCGAAATACGCTCGAAATTTGAAATTATGATAAAATCATTAATTTATATTCGTACATAACTCGAGAAAAATAGTTTTAATTTATTTTAGAATATTAGTATAGAATTTATTTTAGATACATTTCAAAACTGCATGTAATAGCCTATTGTCAGAACCTACAAGATTAACTTAAAAAAAGAGTTGTTAATTTTATATGTGAATTTTACCCACCCATTCGTTGAATATAGAGCGTGATATTATGTGCATTTTTATGTTGTTTATGTATGTATCATTCTATTCCAGTGAGATTCCCCCCGAGCTATCCGGCACAGGCGGCGAAGTCCGCGTGTCTCTAGAGGACCGGCGACATGAGGAGTGTCCCCGACACATCGCTAAACCGCAACCATTCTCCGGGAAAGGACATCTACTGGGCAGGTGATGATACAAACTGAAAGTTTATCAATTAAACCAACCGTCGTCAACTAAGATGGAAAAAAACCTTTACCTCTCCGGTTGAGTTGGACTGCCATCCGATCGGATTAAGTGACTGCGAGGATACAGAGTGTAATTGTGTTTGAACACAATTATGCACTTTAAAATCTGTGTAGTGGTCAAGTCTAATCTGGTTAAACAACTGGCCATCCATATTATCGGGAGAATAGGAGAATGGAGAATGACGTCCCCGAATCTGTGAATTTTCTTGATCACCAGGTGGATTTTCGCTGTGGAAGTTCCTATCTAAAAAAAAAATATTAATGTGTTCCAGCCCAACTCCTCCTACAGTAGGAGCTACGGCGCCAGTGGCAGGTGACGTGGCTGACCGCGCCGCCAACCAGCGCGCCGCGCAGGAAGCTATCAAGATTGATGATTCTGCACCTGTTACTACTATACAGGTACTATTATTGTCATTGTCATTGTCATACTTCCTTCCATAGCATCTACTGATAGCGATTGGCCTCTACAATAGCAAATTGGTGGGCAACGAAGAGCTTAAATATAGTTGCTGTCAAGAATCCGTTTCGATTCTTGACAGCAACTCCACACAACCTATGTCATAAATCTATCTTAATTAAGTGGGGTAGAGATTATCGGTGATTGAAATTGGCTATAAATAAATAAACAAACTATCACGAGTTTAGCCATTCACTTTTTTGTTGGTTTTTATCCCTATTTTTGCGTTAACTTCACTTGGTGGTAAAAGAATAGATTGTAACCAACATTTCTTTGATCCACAGTTCCGCCTTGCGGACGGCAGTCGTCTGACGGGTCGGTTCAACCACACGCATACAGTGGGCGACCTACACGCGTACGTGTCTCGCGCGGAGCCCTCGTACCAGTTGCAGGCCTTCGCCCTCCTCACCACGTTCCCCAGCAGAGAGCTCGCTGACCACGCTGCCACGCTCGCACAGGCCAACATTCTCAACACCACGCTTCTCCAGCGGCTCAAATAAATCCAAAACTTAACGGGATAAGGTCCATTCTCGGTTGGCGGTGCCCGTTCTTCGATATCCTAGTGAGAAGTTTGCGCAGGTTTGCGCAATGACAATAGAAAGTTGTTCTGTATAACTAATGGCAGCTTTCTATATCTGTGTTACATTTTGTAAGACTTCCGAAGTAGTTGTGCCGGTCGCGTCGTGGCTATAGTACGCAGTTTGCGCAAACTTTCATTATTTACTTCATATATAAGAACGTTAGCGCATTTTTTACACACGAATAGGATTACTCTAAAACGCATTTATAGATCGGCTTCTAGGATTTTTTAAAGTATTTAAAATATTTGTATGTTTCGTTCGTGTGGGTGTGCGTGTAGTTTTTATACGTATGTGTGAACGGGCGCAATAACGGGCTATTTGTAACGCGATCTCGCGAGTGAAACAGTGTATTGGTCAATAAATAAACGTTTTTAAGTTCCTTTTTGGTGTTTTTATTTAAGTAGTGTTGAATACCTTAATACAATTAAAGCTTGCTGTAAAAGCATTAATTAAACGTCATCTTGGATTAATTGAAAGAAAATATACCTTTGGAATGATTCCTACATGTCATGGCAAAGCGTAATTTTTGATTTATGGTTATCAAACCACGATATATTAGTAACTGTGGACACTTAGGTTGTTAATTCAGCCAAAATCAAATCAAACAACACCATAGAAAAAATTCTATTTCTTTATTAAATAACATTACGAAATATAATTTAATCAAAACATAATTTAATCGTAAATTTACTACTAATTATATAATCAAAATTATCCATAAAACTATGATAGATTAATGTATAATTATAGTAAAATAACTTCATGATTTCTTTGTACTTGTCAGTACCATTCTCGAGCCACGTTTGATGCGAGTAACCGTTGAATGGTCGCCATTTTGGATATACTTTGAATTTGGAACGTGTTCCGTCATGTTTGCGCTTTGCGTTTAGTTTACGAGCAGCACGCGGCTTTAGGGAAGTTACACGCGCATGGATCGGTTGTTATACACTCCGCGGGGCATATGCAGTCGCAAGCTGGAATAGCAAAAATTACACAATATTAACGACTGGTGCTTACTCTTGAAACCAATCTCAATGTCAATGCAATTTCAATCTAATAAAATCTCAATAATGATTCCATGTCAAAACTATACAACCCTTATCGTAGCTCTTACAATAGCATTTAGAGTAGGTACGGAATGTAAAGCCAAACTCAATACCATTTAGTTTATTAAATATCTACGCAAATCGGATGCAATGGGCGCTAGTGTCGCAATTCAAGAGTACGAAATTTTACAATACCAATGTCGATCGATCGGAATTGGATTCAAGAGTAACCCGTGATCGTTGAAGAGACTGACTATGTATAATTTAGTTTATCCATTCTACCGCTAGTTATGAATAGAAGAGCACATTGCAATCAGGAAATAATTGGCTGGATACAATAAGTTTAAAAAATCGTGATAGCATGAGATTTAATTAGTCCATTGCAACACGTAGATTAGAGAGCGTTTGGCTACCACTTTAATACCATTAGCATAGAGGGCGCGGCAGTCACATTTGAGCATGTTGAATCAATAAGACAGTCGATACAAGAAATCTTGACCTCTAAATACAGGAGCATGCTATTTAAAGAAGTTTTTGCAAAAGTCTGTGACTTACGTTTGCAATCTCCATACTTGCAAGGATCCATGTATTCCGTGCAGTCCTCGCCGGGCGGCAGGAACGATGACCGGTAAATAGTTGTGCCTTCCAACTGAGGATAGATACATATTTTTAACTCTTAATTGCTTGTTAAGACTTATTTGGAATTATTAGTGAAATGTAGTTAACCATCTTTCAATAAAACTTTTAAACAAGAGTAGATACATTGAAAAAAACTGCATCAGCTAAGCAGAGTGCTAAAAAAGGTAAAATGGACTTCGTGATAAAAATAAAGCATGCGCCTAAGTGGCACTTTTGAATAAGTAATCATCAAGAATAATTATGATAAATCGAACGAATATGAGCCTCTAACATGGCTTAAATCTAGTCAAGTTGCTCGTCAAACAGTTACGTGAGTAAGCCGAAAACATAAGTTTTAATACAAATATGCAAAGCTCATGTACCTAACATTTCAATGGACTAGTATGGATGGAGTACTGACCTTTTGGCATGGTTTCTGGTACTGTCCCTTGCACGCCCACGGCGGCCGCTGCGGCTGCGGCACGCACACCGGCTGGTACGACATCTTCTGAGTCGTCGTCGACTCCATTTTAGCTGAAACATATTTAATATTAAGTTGGTTGGTATGTATAAAGTGTTTAATTGGTTATATTTGTTTAAGGCTAACAGTAAGTACAAGTATAAAACAAGTAACATCTAAATTAAACCAATAGATATTAGAATTATATTTTCTAAAGTCACGATCGACTCTCCAACTTCCATGATCGCCTGTTGAACCGAACGGACCTCTCGAATTAAGATAAAATGTAAATAAATATTGACGTTATTGTATTATTAGGTGTAATAAGTAATAAGCCAAACAAATAAAGAAATAAATTAGATAAATAAAGAAAGTTATAAATAAATTAGGTAAATAAAGGAATTATTATTAATTGTAATGTTCATATATCTCGTTTGGAGAATCTTCAGAAACGATTTATAAAATATTTAAATATTAAAAGCCATAAACGCCACGCATCTTATCTGACGGATTGTAAACATTACCACTTATTGCCACTTGATGACAGACGGCAGATGTTGGACATGCTCCTTCTTTATGATATCCTGCGGGGTGGGATAGATAGCAGTGATCTCTTGTCATGCGTTGAATTCTGTACGCACAGGTGTCGAACAAGACATACTCACTTGCTTAGTATACCCTCACATCGTACGAATTATGGGAAAAATGCTGTCATGACTCGACTACCTCGCATTTACACAGAGAAGTTTGAGAGTGTGGATATATTTAATTTGTCAAAGGTATCCTTTCGTAAGTCGCTTATACAAATACTCACTAGTGCGTGACTCTTATAACATTATTATTCTTCTTAATTATTGCTTTATAAAAAAATGTCCTTGATTGTTTAATTTTATTTTATATTGCTCACTCTCCTACTTTTACCTAACGCATGCTGAAAAACTCTGTTATTGGCTTAAGTTTCCATGCCTTGTCATTATTATAGATGTAGCATTTACTAAATAAGCTGTTGAGTTTTCTGTAATAAAAATAATAAATAATAATAAATAAATAACTTTATATTATTGATAGATATCGTATTTAGTTTCATTCATTTCTCTTACGTACTTGTATATTTCTATTTTATTCGTGTTTAACTCGTCGAGTACCGGTTTTGCAGACACAATTATAGAACAATAGGTTGCGGTCACCGGTGACCGCTTGGTATTTGACAGTTTAAATTATAATAAAAAATAGCTAATGATCGATAGCTCACCTGCTGGTTTCTCGTAGCATTTGAGTGGAGCATATGACGTGGGTATCGCGCACCGGCCGGGGTCAAGGAATGACATGCGGTTGACTGTTCGGTCTGGTGAAAAACACAAAATGTGAATAAACAGGTACATACGACATACGTTAATGTCAGGGGCGTAGCTAGCGCCGTATCTGCCGGACCAATTATACGGGGCCCCGGACAACGGGAACCCTAACGTACGGAAGCAGAAGTTTATAAAAACTTCCTAATTTTTAATGTATTTCAGAAGTCATATAAGTATTTTAACCTTTAACTTTGATAGCACCTATATGAGCTATCAAACTGAAACCACTATCAGTCGGCAGCACCTCATATCGGAGCACCAGGTTCTCTAAATAGACCAACATCGAAGAGTCTCCCTCGCTATTACCTAAGAAACCCGGGGATCCTCAGTAGTAAAAGGTTGGTAACGTACGCTTCCTCTGATGTTGCGGGTGTCCATAGGCAGCGATGATCGCTTACCATCAGGTGATCCGTCTGCTCGTTTGCCTCCTATTCCATAAAAAAGGGGTGCCGATTGCTTAGAATAGAATAGAATAGAATAGAATCTTTATTTGCATAAAATGTAGGTACATAATGGTGATAATAATAACATAGTCAAGGTGCCATATACATCTTGTCGCTTGGCGACATGCAAATCTTTATACAGTTCAAATACTTATCACAGAAATAGAACATTTAACAATTTATCTAAATTATAAGTTTACAGTCTATACCTCACAGATCGCTCACAATTGTAGAATTTACATGGGTTTTTTGCTAGAAATTCGTCAACTGAGTAAAAACATTGCTGACATAACCATTTTCTTAGCATTACACTAAATTTATTTGAAGGTAGTCCGGAGATAGTTTTTGGTAAAGAGTTATATATTAAGGGACCCATGTAAATACAGCTTCGTCTAAATAACTCTAATCTAGGAACAGGTAACTGAAATTCTAGATGAGTAGCTTTTCTTTTATTTACATTATTGTTAGACACAAAAAATTGAGGATTATTTTTCACAAATTTAGAAATCTCGTAAATATAAATACAGGGAACCGTTAAGAGGCTATTTGATTGGAATGCGGGTCTACATGAATCACACCAGTCAACATTAAACATTGCACGAACACACTTCTTCTGGACAATGAACACTCGTGATATATCCGAAGAGTTTCCCCATACAATGATACCGTAGCGGATAACTGAGCAAACGTATGCATGGTATACCATTAAGGCAGTTTGCATGGATGTTATACATGTAATTTTTCTCAAAGCAAAGACAAATTTATTGATTTTTACACATACATTTGCAATATGAGTTTTCCAAGTAATATTTTCATCTACTGTTATACCCAGGAATTTAGAGCAATGTATTTGTTCTATAACATTATTATTATATGATACATCAATTTGTACGGGCTTACTTTTCCATGTTTTAAAATAGATTACATTAGTTTTAGGGATGTTTATTTTTAACTTATTAGTATCTAGCCATTTCATAATTTCACCTAATGCTTTGTTGACCTGAATACTCAAATTTTGGGGTTCATTACTCTTTATGATAATAGTAGTATCGTCAGCAAAGAGAACACACTGATGACTTATTGACTGTGGTAGGTCATTAATGTACACAAGAAATAGTAGCGGCCCCAGGATACTACCTTGAGGCACGCCACAGCCATTAGTAAGCGGAACAGAATCAAAATCTTCAATAGTATTTGTTACTTTACTAAGTTTAGCTACCCTTGTTATCTGTTGTCTGTTACTTAGATACGACTGAAACCATTTTTTTGCAGGGCCTCTAACACCATATTTTTCAAGTTTCTCTATAAGTCTGATATGATCAACGAGGTCAAATGCTTTACTTAAATCTAGGAATAAGGCACAGGATGGTTTTTTTGTATTAATATTTTCTATTATGTTTTTTACTAAGGTAAATATTGCCATGGTAGTCGATTTATTCTGTCTAAATCCATATTGTTG